GGGAAGGGCAACAGAATGGTATGGTGATGCCACGTAATATCCATCACTTCCTTTGCCCATCACTAGATAAAATGCCCTTGCCAGAGCAGTGATTCACAGTAATGACATGTAGTCATGGTTTTCTCTTCCATTATACTTTGCTGAATATTATCTGCTTGAATGATATAAAAGTAATTTTTAAAACTTTCATTCACAGGTGCTACTTTATGAACACATACTAAATGTATTTTCATTAATTTAAATGTAAAAATAAAAATAATATTATCCAAAGATGCCTTTAACTTTCAATTTAAAACTTCCTTTCATATTCTACTGTAAAATACATCTGAGATGTCATTATTGAGTGGATAAAATTGTAGCTCCCCAAGGTTTTGTCCCACTTCCTAATTTTTGAAAAGAAATGATAATGCAAGTGTATGTAACAAAGATTTAGGTGAAAATGAAAGTGGACAGCAGGTAAAATACTTGCATGAATAGGGCAGGTCACTTCTAGTGAGGTAACTTTCAAATAATTAAAATCACAATAACTGAAATCACGTCAAATGCCCTATATGTATTTTGTTTTTCTTAAGAGGTCTTGCTAATTAGTCTTGCAAATGGCAATTGCCTCTGGTCCCACTGTGATGGAGGCAACAAGAACATCTGAAACAACAGTATAATTCTATCAGACAACAGAGTGCAACTATCCAGAAGACAGCTATATTCAACTGAAATTACTTTGTTGCTACTTGATCCTCCTTTATATGGTTCTGGGTTACCAACATTATTCCTTTATCTGCCTACTGTGATACAGTGATGAATGTTCAGTATGCATGTACTGCCAACATCTCACTACATGATACTCAAAGGCAGAATCCAAAAACTTCCCGAAGATTGTACCTGTTGAAAAATAGGATAGGTTATGTACATACATCCACATCTAAATCTGTTCCTAAGAAGAGACATACCTAGTTTGAGCACCAGGGCTCACCTCTAGCTCTTCCTTGTCTGGTGCTGCAACCAATTTTATGGCAATGAAGTGGATAAGGGAGCTGATTTCCTGTTCCACATGTACATGTAACCTGCTACATACATAGGTAACACATTTAATATTCCTTAGGCAGGTTTTGAGTTATTTAAAAAAAATTATTTTTACATACATACATACATCAAGCGATGTTTTAAATTTGTGAATATCGGAAAATGCTTTCGATTAAACTTCACAGAAGAAATAAAGTGTAATTCAGAAAATGGAAGTATAAGACCATCTGTAATTTGTCTATGACAGACAATAAAATCATTTATTCTAAAGAACACACCATACAGTGAACAAAGTTTCACTGCATCCAACGATTATCAGTACATCATGGAGAAACATTCTGATAAATGACAAACCACATGTGACATTTCTAAATAAACATGAATAAGAAATATTAATGCTTGAAAAGATAAATAGCAGTTGGTATAAAAATGAGTTCACATGTGCAATCTGTGCAACAAAAATCAAGGATTAAAAATTATTGAAGTACAAAACCGTAGGTGATGTAAGTATAACTGATGTCATCATTTCATTCATTCATAATCTCCTGTACCTAACATTAATTAAAATTATTTATGCCTGATTTGAAGAAAAGGTGAATTAATGTTAATGACTTTTCTGCAACATATAACCAAATCCTGCAGCAAAACAGAAGGGAAGACTGTACTTTCCTTGATCATTCATATTCCCTGGTAGGTAAGTTGGTAAGGTAAGGTGAGATGACGATATTATAGCTTGCTTGCTACCATGCAGCTCAGAATATTTTGGCTTCACATCTGCTATCTAATAATGTAAAGATTATACAAAATTATAATTTTACTAGTTTTCTCTGACTAATTGGTGAACATAGTTTGAAGTTGACGGATAACAGGTGTTTGAGAATATATTTGGACCTAAGATGGACAAAACAGGAAGCTGGACAAAACTCCGTGATGAATTCCCTAATTTGTACTCTTCACAAAATATTATTAGGATGATCTAATCAAGGAAGATGTGAACTGGACATGTAGCATGCATGGGGAGATAATAAATGCATACAACATTTTGGTTGGAAAGTCTGGTGGGATGGCACCACTCAGAAGATTCAACCATAGGTTCGAGGTTAATATTAAAATGAATCTATGGAAAACAGTATTGGAGAGTGTGGGTTAGATGCATCTGCCTCAGGATAGCAAACTGTTCATAGGCTCTTATAAACATGGTAATGAAATTTTGGGTTCTATAAAAGGCAGGGAACCTCCTAAATAATTCAGCATACCTCCAGGTTCTAAAGGACTCTGTTCCAGAGGAGTTACTTGTTTCATATGCATGCTTTCAATTAACTATATCTTCCTTTGTACATTAGCAAGAATAATTTAGAGTGAGGTTTTCTTAGTATGAGGGAAAAATGTGGACTGACAGTCAATAAGATGTGCTGGGGAAGTTACTTACAACCTAAAAAAATTAACTAAGAAATGAGTAGAGCAATTTATAAGAGCTTCATAAATTGTACTGTTCACTTAACGTTTTTAGCATGTGTACAGAATTTTGATAATACGAATGAAAGAGACTTACTGACCAGGTAATAACCCTCTCAAGGAATACCATGTACCATGGAACACCTACATCTACAAAAGGCCGCATACTACACGTCTGATAATGTGAAGAAAATAAGAGATTAGAAAATTGTACTGTTTCATGAACTAGGAAAGCTCAGTCAGTATAGTGACATGAAGCAGACCACTCACCTCCTCCTACTTCCAAGGTTAAGAATGCATGGAGTTATACTGCCACCACCCCTCTCATATGTCTACATGGCATGGTGCTTACTTTAAGCACCAGCTACAACTTTGGCTTTGAAAACTGTTGTCTGAAATACAACTTATGTATGTACTTCAAAGCTGTACCCAAGGAGGTCAAATTATTGAAAACTATGGTTTGGGTTTTTCAGATTATACAATGGGAATTTCATTACAGCACATGTACTTTTCAAAATCTTGGATTCCACTTACACTGCTTGTGTTCATCTTTTCCTGTCTTGGAACAGACTAATGCATCTCCAGCTTTGAAATTGACGGTACCATCTGCTAGCCGAAGACCGCATTCCTAATACTCATTTTGAAAAAAATATTCAATTCTGTCAATATATCTCTTATACAAGATACAAAACAGCTGCAAGGTTACCATGCAAATTCTGTATTTAACTTTCCTTTTGATGTTTGAAGTCTTGTATGTTGAAGGATATAATGTAATTCTTACTCTTATTTCTGTGTTGTCTTACACTTGGATTTTCATGATTTTGTATGTCAATTGTTTGCTGCCTGCATAATTTTTGGATAAAATTATACATGCACAGAATTTTGAAGCAACATTCTTACTGTACACCAGTGTGTGGTTTGGGAAATTACCAATTGTGTGGAGTGTTGGGTAGTGAGTGGATGTTATAACTTCTTAGAATTTTACATTACATGTATACAGTATATGCATTAAAATGACATACATTGGGAGATTTTCTCATTTAACAAATTTTGAGCTTACAAGTGCATAGCTTGAATCAGCTATAAATGAGGACAATGTACAAACCTTAAAAATATGCAACATATGAAACATATTAGAATTATGTGCCTTCATTAACAAAAGCATTGTACCACAGTGATTAGAAGTGAGCCAAGACCTTAGTTTGTACCTGCAAATATTTTATGAGATGGGAGTTAAAAATTTCATATAGCATAATTGGTTCTACAGTTTCGTAAGTTTATTGAGAAACGGCTTATAGCTTACATTTACCTAACAAATGTTTCACAGTGTAGTAGGTGTTTAAAAATATCTCATACTGATGACAGTCTTCTGGCCATTGATGCTCCGTAAAATCCTAGATGAGTTTTAGTATTACAGAGGAGCACACTGTCTCAGTCGTCCTGTATGTAGGCAGTATCCACCTATAGTTGGCCAAATTTCTGTTTAATAATGGGAGAAAAGGGAAGCTCAGAGGTTGTCTTGAGTGTCTTGCAACCTAGTACAGCTGTGGTGATAAGAAACTTATGCTACTACAGACAAAGAGGCATAAAATATGTTGTGTATTTGTTATTCAGAAACTTCAAAAACAATAACTTATATCACTCGTGATGATGTTTCCACATGATGCTCGAGTATAAGTAATATTATTCACACGTAAATGTTTTCATTCCATATTCTGATGTTTCTATATTTTCTGACTATACTTCAGATAACTTCCTCCAGTATTGGTTCTCCCTGGCAGATACTAGCAGACATAAATAGCCCCAATCAGCAATCATCCATTGGCTGACCTGTACGATTCCACACACTTACAACACATAAGACCACCATCAGAATCATAACTGCCATGAGAATCTCAAATGTTTCATGCCTCAAATGAAACTATTCCATGCACTGCAGGCATAATCAAAACTTACGCTTCTTGCATTTATAACTTATACTTCATTTACAGTATTTATCATGACATGTGGGTTCATTATTACATTCCATTTCCTTTTGGATTATATCCAGTGCTACCTGTTCTGACTTAAATAATCTGCTGCTTTTTCACGGATGCTGAAAAAATTTCAATGTGTAGCCTTCTTGAAAAAATGTCAACAAAGGATTCACTCGGTCTTCTAAAATTGACAATCAGGAGGGGTGGTCATCATCTTGCTCACTCTCAATGATTCGGATGTTGTTGTGAATGCTATTCAGGCAGTCTGAGAAATGGAATGAAAGATGAACATGTCAACATACTGGAATCAGCAGCAGGCTTACAGGCTACTCCACTAAGCACTGCTTTCTCAGAGTCCTCAAAATACTCCTGTGACTGCCGTTAAGCCCATGGCCATTATGCATTTATTCACAGAACTGGCCCTTGAAGGACATCACATTTCCCTCCCATTTCGAACTGGTCATTCCCATCCACATGTGGAAGCGACACTGATGGGGAGGAGATAATGGGAATGACCAGTTGTCGATTGGAAGGGAGACATTATAAACAGATATTTTTGTCATGCCCTGGCCATAAATTTTCTACTGCTTTAATGGACAGTTTTGTGAAGAAATGTTGATACTGTCACTGGAGGACTTTGAGTAAGCAGCACTCAGTGGAGCAGCCTATAAGCCTGCTGCTAATTCCATCACGTTGACATATTCATCAATGAGTCCCATAGACCAGTTGCTGATTCTAGTACCAGCTGTATTTGTGACTTCTTGAACTATTTGAACACCTTTCACAGTAACATCTAAAGACAACATCAACAATTATAAAAATGTTCACTAAGTCTACGATGCTGATATCAGGATATCGAATGAATCTTTGCATAATATATTTAGTAAGCCTACTGCCACAATCTTTTGAGTCACATGAAGTATTGACCATGTGACATATCACACACCACAGCCAACCAAGGTTCAAATAATTGTGAATTACATACACTGGCTATGTAGCTACAGATAACAGCATGAAAATACAAACAATACAAAATTTATATATGTTTTATGTATTTAATTGGTTTGTGGGGGGAGAAGTGTGTGAATCTGGAAACTGAACAAAACATGAAAGATTAAAACCTTTATATATTAACTGCATGGGCAATAAATATATATGTAATTAGTGCATTAGTAAACAATTACATGACATCGCTACTATGTCTGAGATAATAATGCACAGAATATAATGGGATGTACTGTAACGATCCTTGTCAAAGTTACATTTTATAATAATTGTTAACATAAAGCATACAGAATGTTTTAAGTTGAAATACAGTTTCACTTCCACCTCTCAGTGCTAACACTAAATGTAGCACTGAACCACCTTGCACTTTATAGTCTTGAGCAGTCTTCTCATCATTCCTGAAAGAACAATAGACAGTTAATTATAAAGTCAGAATCACATTATTACAGAAAATAAGAGAGATGACATTCCTCATAACATGCAAAAGGCTACTATAGAAACAAACTCCATGGAACTAATAATCAAGAAATTCTCTACCTTTTACTACAGTGTTCACAAGATCACGCCCTTGATCCTATCCTGGATCACATGAATTCAGTGTAGAAACGAAATGTAAGAATACATTTTAAGTATGGTAAAATTGAAAGCCATGCATGGTACTAAAACAAGTGTACAAACTTGTGTGTGAAATATAAGTACTCACATTTGTTTTCCAGAAAATATTAGGCGTTGCTGCTGGGGAGGAATGCCCTCCTTTTCTTCAACTCTTTCTTTGATGCGTTCCACTTTGTCTGTTGGCTCGATATCAATCTCTATCTACACATTTACAAACCAAATATAAAAGAATAAGTAGTAATTCAATTTCACACCAATGTTTGTCTGTCACTGATAACATAAACTGAAGGAAATGTTCTTGACACCTGTGCACAATCCGAGTGAGTGTTCAATAAATACATTTTAAGGTGTTCATGTCCATAAAAATGTGGGTTGTGGTTATCTTGGTTGCAATGTGCTGTGCAGTCTTGAAGATGGTTACCAATGTTTCATTGGAACAATAGTAACCACTTACAAGACTTGATGAAAGACTCTCGGGTTACAAGCCACCTAATGTGGCTTGTAACCTGAGAGTCTTTCATCAACTTCAGTTGCCACGAAAGCTCCATTTTATACTTACAAGACTACATGGCATCACAGCCCAGAAAACCACAATTCATATGTGGAAATGTTTCTTGCATGTGTACGTGCACTTACACACAATTTCACAAATCAACACAACTTGACAATCATCTGCTTTCTTAAAATCTGGCACTTGTACATCCTCCATACGAGTTTCAATAAAATGGGGAAAGGAGGATTTCAAGTTTAATCAAGAATCAGGTGATGCATTATGATTCAAAGAATTATGTACAGGCTACACTATCTAAACATACACATTATGAAAAACTACATAACTAACTAAGTAGATGGCTTACAAAACACAAAGATTCATCACCGAATTAACCAAAGCCCTCCACTGGACCCTGACCTGGGCCAACAAAATCCAGTCTCCTTCAACTCCTATCTCCCATAGACCCCGCCTGAGACTATCCTCCCATTTACGTCTAGGTCTCCCCAGTGGTCTCTTCCCTTCAGACTTCCTGACCAATACCTGGTGCACACCTCTTGCCTCATCCACGTATGCCACATGCCCTGCCCATCTCATTCTCCTCGACTCAACCACCAGACAATACTGGGGGAGGAGTACAAATTTTTAAATTCGCCATTATGCAGTTTCCTGAATGCCCCATCCTCTTCTCTCCTAGGCCCAAATATCCTCCTCAACACCTGCAATCTGTGTTCCTCCCTCAGAGTGAGAGACCATGTTTCGCACCCATACAAAACAACGGGGAAAATTATTGTTTTGTAATTTTTAATCTTTAGGTCCAAAGAAATCAGACGGGAAGACAAAATATTTTGAACTAAAAAGTAGAAGGCATTTCCAGAATTTAGTCTCCTCCTAACTTCCTCATAAATTTTTTGATTTGTTATTGTTGATCCCAAATACTTGAATTTTGTCACACATTCAAAGGATTTATTAGCCACCCTAATATGATTTTGCCTGCCTGTCCGCTGACGGGATACTAACATGTACTTAGTTTTTTCTGAATCCCACCCTTCATGAAACACTACATATTTTTTAAAAATAGAAAAAATACATTTGAATTCAATGATGGATTAAATAGTTTATAACAACAAGAATAAAAGATCTAATGCAAAGGTGGGACACAAGGGTTAGAGAAGCCAAAATTGTTTTTGTCCAAGTAATTAAACAATATTAGGGAGGCCAGGGCCTGATTCGGGATGTAGTGCTATTGGTTGGAATTAAACAATATTGTTGAGTCATATTGTGTCATAATATTCAAGTAAACAATTCTTAGGCTATAAAAGTTTCAATGAACTGCTCCAACAAACAAAAGTTATCCATAAATACTTCAGCTTCTTCCATTTGTACAGAAAATGGCAAAATGAATGGACTATTTATGTATCATAGAAGAAATATTGTATTTGTATTGTGCTGAAATTAAAAAAACTATTTAATTGGGGCTTTTACTGTTAGTACAGACACATACATAAATTTCTCAGATTCATTATATTGTAATGTCCAGAATCAGCAGCCAATAGTCCCCAGTACCTGGTATATTCCAACAGATATACAAAAAAATTTCCTACTTGTAAAACAGAACAGGACCAGACATTGCCATATGAGGAGGCTAGGTCATCATAAATTTAAAACAAAAAAATTTAAAAAAATCAGATTTTACCTCTGATTACTATAAATAACACTGACATTACAACTCAATTAACTGCAAACATTTGAATACTTCTAGTAAAACTGCAGACAATGATTTACTTCTTCCATCACATGACATTACGAGTCACATCATACTGCATGTAATGCTGTATGGACTTTTGAATTTCTAATAAAAACTGGCAATATACATGAATGTGCTTAAAACTGTTCATTTTTTGGACTATTTCCATCATCCTATTTTAAAAGAGAAAACCATGACTTTTCAGTGACTGGCTCTGTCTCTGTCTTCAGGTGATGCGTACCTAATTAGTTGGGTCTGTTAGAGCTAGTCTCTGTCAGTCAAGTATAGAGAAGAGATATTTATGATTAACACTCCTCATATGTACAACTTATGCATTTTAATTCAGTTCAAGACAGAAGAATAAAAGTGTGTGCACCTAATTTACAAAACTACTGCCAGTTTAACTAAAAATTATGAGGCACTTTGTTACATAACCTCAACACACTGCACATATAATAGATAACTTTAGATTCTGCCTACTGCTGATGATTATTAAACATGGTTGTGAATGATGCATTGAGAAAAGAGCATATTGAAAGAAAGTAGTCATAACTAACTTTATCTGGTCTTAGTATCTTCTTGGAGGTATATTGACATTCTCAAACTAAGTATATTTCAATTATTAAAATTCTTTGTTGACAGTACTTGAAAACATCAATAGAAATATTATTGCTGGCAATTAACATCAACTTAGTTTGGAGGTAATGAGAAATACTGCAGCTGGTCTTCAGCCCAAGATTCAAACACAAGCCTT